AGCATTTGCTCATTTCATGTCTCTGTGTCACATTTTGGTAATTCTTGCAATATTTCAAAATTTTCAGTATTATTATACTTGTTAATGGTGATCTATGATCAGTGAGTATGACTAAAAGCTCAGACGATGGTTAGCATTTCTTAGCAATAAAGGATTTTTAAAATTATGGTATATACATTGTTGCTTTTAGAATAATGCTTTTGCACATATAATAGACTATAGTATAATGTAAACATAACTTTTATATGCACTGGGCAACCAAAAAATTCATTCAACTCACTTTATTTCTATATTTGCTTTCTCGCAGTTGTCTAGAACTGAACTCACAATATCTCTGAGGTATGAGGGTCAAATGAGATAGCACACATAAAAGAGCTCAGAATTGAATCTGACACGCTAAGTGATCAGTAAGTGTTAGTCATTACTAATATAGACATTTGTATCCATGGCTTTTGAATTATGAAAGGCAATGACTTCTCCCTTTTGCTTAAGCTGGTTTAAGTTGGGTTTCTACCACTTGCAACCAAAAGGGTCTTATCTAATACAATTACCATAAAGCATAAGGTCCCAGAGTGTATAGGCTTATGGCAGGCCAACTTCCTTTCTGTGGGCTGAGGCAGAGAAGGAGGATTGGCTCAACTGAATCTGGACCATCTGGCTCCTTTTAGTTGATGTCATCAGTAATTTTACCTGAGTATTTTTCCAACTCCTAGTTAAGAAAAGTTTTCTCGTCACCGTCTTATTTATATTCACTAAAATCCTCCTTCTTCTATGTTGCCAGTTAATAATATCTCTGGTATGATTATTTGTTTTTAAATACACATAAAAATACAAAAAGTGGGGAATTACACATGAGAGAATAAAATGAAAGAAAATATTTCTATAATTAAAATATATTTTCTATTGTTTTCAATGTCCCTAAGCCTTAGGCTGGAAACATTCATGTACTAGTTTACAGAAAATAATATTATAACTAAGCAGTCTACATGCTAAATAGCATACTTTCTTGGTGTAGATTTCTGGAGGGATATGCAAGGGATTTGCATGTTTAATTCCCATTAGCACCTGTCACTGGGATTTATTATCCCAGAGTTAATTCTCCACTCACTGCAGCCAAGAAAAAGGAAGCCCTTGTACATGGATTTAAATGAAGCTTTTTATTTTTCAAAATGTGATGAATTTCATGTTTGTTCCTCAAACACCTGCAGTAGTCCAACCCGGAAAAAGTCATATTTAAATTCATTTTTGGTAAAAATTTGCCCTAACTTGATTTTATTCAACAATTAGAAAAGCCTGTTCATAATCTGAAATTTTTTCTTGGAGGAAAAAAGAAGTTTTAATCAAGGACTTAGGTTGGTTTCAAAATTCATTGGCTCTCATTATTCCATTCAATATTCAATAAACATTTATTGACCACCTATTATGTGCCAGGCAGTTTTCTAGGTTCTGAATATAGAGTGGTTAAAGTACTAGGAAAAAAATTCCTCCCCTTCAGGATCCTCCATTCTGTTGGGGAGTATGCATACATACATATACACAAAAACATAGGCATACACACAGACACACATATACACACATATGTATACACATAGACACACATAGACACATACACATATATTTATGAAGACATATATACATGGACATATATATGTTTATATAGAAGGACTGCTATGTAGAAAATCAAAGCAAGTGAATTCAATTGAGTGTTAAAAGATATATGCTATTTTAGGTTGTTGGTCAGAGAAGGTCTCTAAGCAGTGACATTTGAGCCCAGATCTAAGTGAAGTAAGTTAATAATCCAATGCTCAGAAGCCTATGAAACACTGCATTATCTATTTCATAAAGAAAAAAAAAAAACAAGCAGAATGTTGATACACAAGGGAAGTTCCATCTGCAACCATAGATTGTAGAAAACTCACCTGCTTAATAAGGCTGATGCATCTGCTGGTACTTTTCCTGTCCTTGTTCTTATGCTCTTACTCCCCACTCTGCTTTCCATCTCATTTCTACATGCCACGTCTCAAACCATTCTCCTGCCCTCTTTAGGCTGAATTTCAGTATTGAACTACTTTTTCCTTCTTGTCTCTTCCTCTTTCTTTCAAAGAATTAATTTCATGCAGTATCTTTGAGCACTTCAGTGTCCCAAACAGGATTGCATAACAATTTAATTCTATTTAACTAACTAGACTTTGAGGATTCTTCCCTATTGAAACTTTATGACAATCAATCAATCAATCAATCAATCTTGATTGAGCACCAACTATATATTGGGCTCTGTGTTAGGAGCCGGGGATGAAATGATGAACAAGGCAAAGTCTCTGCCTTACAAGAGTTAAATCCTAGCTAGAAAAGATAAGCAATAAAATTGTAAATGAGTAAGCACAAAAACTTTCAGATGTTACTACAATGATAGTGAGTATATGTGAGGATTTCTTAGTACCTAAGCTGCTGTCCTTCCTGGAAAAATTGTAAAGACAGATATGAAATATAATCACAGCTCCTTCTGGTGATATAATCCTCAAAATAAATAATGGGCATAAGCTGCCTAGCTGCACTGTCCATCATAGTTGCCACTAGCCATGTGCCTATTAAAATTAAATTAATAAATTACATTAAAATACCAGATTTGTACTAGCCACATTGCAAGTGCTCAGTAGTCACATGTGTCTAATGACTATCATTTTGGAGAGCATAAATATGAACATGTTCCTCACTACAGAAAGTTCTGTTGGACAGCACTTATCTAGATAGCATGCAGCTGATGAAGCTCTTTCATCAATGGCAAGAATAGTAGCTAACAATTTCGTATCAGGTGCTTCACATATCTTGAACTCCTTGATTTCTCACAAAGCCCTATAAGAGAGTTACTGGTACTAGACCTATCTTATAGATATAGAAACCAAGGCACCTAGTTTTATTGTTCAGTATCTGTCAGCTAGTCATAAGAAATGCTAAGAATTGAATCCAGACAGTCTGGAGTCAGAACCTACCCTCTTACCAAAAGATCCTGGTATCTGATATGGGTAAGGGAAAGTGAAGAGGGTAAAGGAGAGATTTTAGCATGACGGGCAGCACCTCCACAGGGGGAAAAAATGGCCAGATTTGTCAATGTCTTTGCCAAGTATGACCTTTTCAAGATCTATCAGACTCATCCAAGACAGGTCTTACTGGCTAAAGGTTTAGATGGAGGTTGGCAGGCAGAATCATGGAATGCCAGCACTGAAAAGAACTTTAAAGCCATGTAATGAAATATTTCATAGATGAAAAAACTGAGACATGCAGTTTACCTGACCTGTCCAGGATAACAAAGTGAGATCTCAAGCTTCCTGCCTGTGTGTGTGTTTACACATTACCCCCTTGGCACCAAGAGCTTAAAATTTCCATGATATATTATTTATTATTAGTTTAGGAGTGTACTAATCTTAGGAAGAGGTTTCGTTCTCCCCAGAATGTTGGACTTGCCAATGTGTATCGACCTTTTAATTCATCCACTCTTCCTTTTGTCTAGCCTGTCATTTTTTCCACCCATTCTTACATTCTTCCGTCATCATTGCAACAGGGATCCAAAACCTAACTACCCAGGCTAGTCTTTCCAAATAAATAAATAAATAAATAAATAAATAAATAAATAGGGGGAAAAGTATAAAAATGCATAGCATCAGTTTGAGTTCTTACACCGTTAGGAATTTGGAAAATATGTCATAGGTTCCACCATCACTTTAAGTGAGTACCTACAAATTTTGTTGTGCATCGTTTCTGGGAGTTTCAGTATCAGGCATCGTCTCACCACCCTTTACATACTCAACATTGCCAGCCACCAGGATGCACGCAAATAAAGCTCTATTGAAGAATGAGTTTTCCTTTAGCTTTTAGTTTCTGTTCCACTACGGAGAAGTCATGGGCACCCAGAACATAAAGCAGTCTGAGTGGCGCTGACAACCCCAGGATTGCAGCGGGTTGGGACGCTGCAAATCTTCTTGCCTTCTTCCCACCACGCAGCACTTCAACTTGAGCCCGCACCCAGCTTAATCAATCACAAGACCCCAAGTCGTAGAGCGAGTCCAGTCCTGGGGAGTCTGGCTCAGGCTTTGCCGGCACCGTGGAGAAGCTGGCAGGCGGCAGGCTGAGCTCCAGTGGACACAGCCAAGAGGCTCGGGGCGCGCCCGCTGCGCTCTTGGAGTCCGAGTCTGGCGCACCGCGGGAGGCAGGCGCGCTCCCACTCTCCGCAGCCGCCTCTGCCCTCAGGTTTCTCTCGCCCCGGCTTCCGCGGGTGAACCAACAGCCGGTCTCCACCTCTGGCGCTGGGCGCGCATCTCCCTCCAATCCTTGCTTACATAACGCGGGCGGGCGCGCTCCCGCCGCCGCTTACCCCCCAGCGGAGTTGGGCTGCGCCCTCCACGCCTCCGTGGCGAGCGCCTCTGCGCGCCCGTGCGCCCCACGCTAGGAAGTGACTCTCCTTGGCCACCCAGCAGCGGCAGCCTGGACGTCTCTCCGCCGGCGTGAGCTAACTGAGATTGGAGACCAGAGAGCCTCACTGTGCCCAACTCCCTCCCTCAGCTCCCACCTCCTCCCACTTCTCGCTTCCTCTCCCTCCGCCGCCTCCCCCCACCCCCTTGCCTGTGTGTGTTCCGCACTGAAGAGGGGACCCGGAGAGCAGTCCAGGCTCGGCGCGCGGCGGAGCTGCGGCTGCTCCTGCTGCTGGGGGCAGCGGTGAGGTGGCCGCCTTGCGCCTCCCCGGACTTCCCAAGTGGGGGCAGAGCAGCCGCTCGCGGAGCCGCCAGTTAGAAGGCACAGGGAAAGAGGGACCGCCAAACTCCTCCTCAGCGTCTCCTCTCCACCCCCTTTTGGCTCCTGCCCTTGGAGAAAGTGGAGTGTGGCTCTTGGTTATCATTATTTCTTCGGACTGCTTCGCGGTGCACGGATTCTCCTGCTTCCCAGTGGGGTTTTCCGCTGTTGGCGCGCCTCTCCGTGTGGTTCCGCCCGGCACACCTCTGTCGACGATGAGGAAAGGTCTCCCGGCGACAGCGGCCCGCTGCGGACTGGGACTGGGATACGTGCTGCAAATGCTCGTGCTACCTGCCCTGGCCCTGCTCAGTGCCAGCGGTACCGGCTCGGCCGCTCAAGGTAAGAGGGTCCGCCAAGCTCTGCGGCCACCTCCCTTCGCTTCTTCCTCCCCTCCTTCCTCTCCTCCTCCCCAGTTCTCCTGGCTTCCTTAAATCGCCTCCTTGCTCTCAACTGGAAATCAGCTTACATTCCACTTTCCCAACTAGTCAAGAAGCTTCATTATTTTTAATCCATCTTCCAAGATGGGCACGGATGGACCAGGGACGCTCGGGGTGTGGACACGCATCAGTCTCTGGGCATGTGGGCGCCTTGCGTATCTTTCGCACTTTCCGCTCCACATTCACACGTTGTGGCATATTGTACACACGGAGGTTTGGAGAGACTCTTGGTGCGGGTGGCTGTGTGGTATGCCATGGGTGCACCGCGATGCGCAGAGGCTCCCCGCGCTGAGCCACATCTGGGGTTGCGGGATCTTCAGGGAGTCTCTGAGCACGCTAGACGCCGAAGGGCGTTCAGCTAAGGAAATGTGTCCATTACCGCCGAGGACCCACCAGCGCCGGTGCCACTCTGCTGCTGCTTGGGGCGCTGTGGACATGCACAGCGCAACCCGGACCCGCCACCCAGCCTGCGGCAGACCCCGGGCCGTGCACGCCTCCACACTCTTACCCTTTCCGTGTCTCCCTCCCAGTAAGCTATGGAGAAACTTAAAACCCAAGAGCTCTGGGGGAAACGGACTGGTTGTTCAAACCAAATACGAAACTCCCCCGGGGAAGCGGGCCAGTTTATAACTCTGACATTTTAATTTAACGCGTCTGAGCTTTAAAATAAGTGTCCGGGGCCTTGGGCAAAACAGGGGTGGGGAGAGGAGCGGTCAGGAGTTGAGGGTGGATGAAGAAGGAGGGGAGGCGCGGGGGCTGATTGCCAAGCTCCCTTCGTGTCCCCCGGGTTTGAAGTGGTAGCGGCAGCTTCAAGCCTTCCGAGCCCAGGAAGCGGACTGGCAGGGAGACGGAGAGGAAAGAGCCAACGTTGCCCCCTCTGGGGTGTGTTTCGGGTCACCTGGGCCCCCAACCTTCTGGCCCAGCCGAGCGCCCACCTCGGTCTTTTCGACCAGTTCTCTGGTGGTCGCTGGCTCAGGGGAGGCAGCTGTTTTTCGGTAGGGTGGGGGTGGAGGAAGCGTTTGCAGAATTCGGAGGTGATTCAGGGATCCCATCCTCTCGGTTACACTCCTTTCCAAATTTGGAGAGCAGAGGAGGTGCGGCGTTCGCCTCAACTCCCCCGGCGTTGCTCTGTGGCTCTGACACTCTGGAGGTTCCCGACTGCATGCCCTCTGATCTGCGAAGGCACTGGGGGAGAGGGCGTTGGAGGTGGAGGGGAGCGCTGAGCGTTAGCGAGTGTGGTCCGCACGAGGAGGTAAGTGATTAGCGAGGCTTTGTGAATTAGCGATTGCTACTTGGGGAGTAAATTTTGCCCTTGCCTAGCTAAGTAGCCACGCTCATAAATCCTTCCTTCCCTTCTTACCAGATGCCTCCCATCTCCGAGGTTCTGTCCTGGTTTTCTTATGCAAACTCCCAGAGCCCATCTGTCCATTTTACAAGGGAGTCTTCTGGAGAATCATAGGAACTTGTTGTAGGTTTCTTGAAATTGGTAGGAAGTTCTCTGGGTAGCAGCCAAGGGTGTTTAGAGAGGGGTGTTTGGAAGTTTAAGTGAACAACCTGATGAATTGTCGTGGAATCAACACCGAGACGCCCTTGTGGGATTCGACTACTGTTATTGGGCGCACAAAGGACCCAGCCACAGGGTGGGGCTCAAGGGGCGATGGGGGGGGGGGGGGGGGGGGGGGGGGGGGGGGGGCTGGACGATGGGAGACCTGTTTGGGAAAAGGACAAGTTAAAGACCCCCAAGATGCCAAACAGGAGATCTAGGATTCTTGCCGAGAGCTTACTACAGCCAAATTAAAAAGACTGGCTCAGAAAAAAAAGATCAATAAAGATCATCACACAGGAGATTGTAAATGGATTAATATTGAAAGAAGGGAGAGATTAAAAGAAAAAGATGCTCAAGACAGGCTGAGCGAGCATGTGGCACTTGCACTTTTCTGATAGATCAGGCAATCCAAGACTGAACCTGCTCCTCTAATCTTAAATGGAAAAATAAAATGTATCCTCGTGGGTATGTGCATTTCAGTGGTGTTCTCCATTTAGTTTAGTTCTTTCCGTGCCTGGTGGACATGCTTATGTTTGAATCTTGTGGTCTAGAAAGACGCTACAGACTACTTTTATCTTTGTCATCCTCCATGTTTCAGGACACCAGCTCTTCCTGTGTTGTCGGTTAGGTATTAAAATGTAGAAAGCACCAAACTCTATCAGCTGCAATCACCATCATTCTAATCCATTTCCCCGGCGTGTTTACTGTTGAACTACTATTACACTGTCTTCTCAGAAGCATACTTTTATATTGGTCTAGCAGTCAGACTTCCTTTTCCTTCTAATTTCTTCTTTCGCCTCTGTCTTTGGACTAGAACACCGGGGAAACCTAAGACAATGTTGCTTCCTCAAGGTCTGATTTTCATGTGTTGAACACTTGAAGATGGAAATGAACTATTTTTTTATGAATGGAGGTACATATGCAATTAAGATGAGAGAGTTAATTTAAGTACTTGACAGTGTGGATGAGATTTATTCTGTTAGAGAAGTACTAGAAAAATGAGAAGTTTTAGAAAATATGTATGTCTTCACAAATTGCCCAAAAAACAACAGATGTTTAAGATTTAAAACAAAAAAGCATAATAGGTATTATTTGCAAGTGTCCTGTGTTTTGTAACTGTGGTTTGCATAAAGACAACTGGCATTTTATTTAGGTCCTTGGGAGATTCTCCAGGCTTTAGGCCACAACTTTCTCCTTTCTGGCTATGCCTTAATTGTTTCATTCAGGATTGCCGGAAACTCTTAGCTCCAGGGAATTTGTGTCATTTCTGACTTCCAAGAATGAAAGATTTTACTAGGAAAAGTGTGTAAGGGTGTGTGAGTGTGATGTGTAGTATGTATTTGATCAGCGTACCTCAGAGTTAGTGCCCTCCTGTTATAGAAATGCATTTATTTCTGGATTACATAGCATCGATATTCTGCTTATCTAGCACCAACTAGTGTTATGAGTGTTAACATCACCAAACTCAGAACAGAAAATCAGTGAAGACTCTAATCATATTAGGAATATTTGATACTACTGTCAGTTACTTTATAATGTTTTTTTTAAAGCAAAAACTATACTTCTTCCTACAAAAGGGTAGAAATTACCTTCATGCATTTATGCATATTGGCTTTGGGGAGCTAGACAATTGGCATGAAGGATAACTGAATTTCATTACAGTTAAAAAATGTATTTTCTCCATGTACAGGAGCAGAGTAAATACATAAAATCACATTTGGAATTTTCAAAAAGGAAGAGTAGGCTAGTTTACTTTAGAAAAAAAAACGATTTTGGGCATTCTACCTTAAGGAATGCTTAAAACGCTTCAGAGGACAAACTTTTCAAGTACTTGCAAAGAATGAAGATCTATTAGATTGTTAACATTCATTAATTTCTTTTCCTTCTGTATTCTGGATCCTGGGGATTCAGGGTTCAACAAGACAAGTTCCTGGAATATCTCCCGTTTTAGTCTGGGAGCCCGGTGTCCTGATCAAAATTCATACTGATCTTCTTAAAGCAGACCCTCTAAAAACATAAAGGAGGCGTGAGTTCTATAGAGGCAAACCCTCCTAGCTTATTTAAAATTATTGTTGAGACTTAAAAATAACTGTTCTCTAATGTATGCTACCTTCTCCAATTAGTGCTAACAGCCAGAGTGTGCTCTATTAGGCCTTAACTGCATTTAGCACTTTTCTGATTTAGGTCATGGCTTTGCTGGAGCAGCAGAGGGAGTCACTCTCAGAAGAAACATTAAAATTACAGGCTGCAACCACTTCAAGAAGATAATGGGGAAGACAGTAGGGGTGGGGATTGAGCCATAGCCGCCATGCCTGCAATTTTAACCTGCTTTTTTTTTTTTTTTTTCAGTTTGACTTCTGTATTTGTGGCAGTTAAAAACAAACCTGTTCACATTTCCCCACAAATTAGAAAGCTATTAGCTCATTTGGAGAGTGCATGAGAGAGTGCAGTTCTTAACAAATGGTCCTTGTGTCCATATTATGCCTCAGACAGTGCTATTTGTTAGGGAAACAGAGTCAAGAGATACCGTTTCAGTATAAGGAAGACAGACTTATAAGCATATAATTATAACTCACTGTCTGAAAAGTAACAGTGAGCATAGGTATAGTACTTTTTGGAATCAAGTATCAACGATTGCAAACATAAGTCAGGCTAGAGTTCTAGGGGCAGTGGTAGTGGAGTTTCCAAAAATTCTGTCCAGAAGAGCTTAAGGATGGCAGTTCGGTTTGAAGTGGGATGTTCTTATGCAAAATGTGCATTGCAGTTGTTTATTGACATTAAATCTTACTTAGATTTAATGTACGTTTGGTCTGGTTTTGGGGAGGCACAAGCTAAGGGGCTGTTAGTGCTATGTGCCCATTCTTCGGGTTAGCTGATCAATGTCTCCTAATCCTGCTTCTCCCACCCCCTAGTTGTGTGGCCATGGGTGAGTTAATTCCCTTCATCTGTGCCTCAGTTTCCACAGATGTAAAGTGAAGATAATACATACTATAAGTCCTGTTATGATTGAATGAGCCAATACATGTGACTTGTTTAGAGCCATGCCTGGCCCACAGAAAGTAAATATTATTCTTTGGCTTTTAACTCTGTAAACCACTGGCAAAGAAATCTAGAAGTTAAAGAAACTCAAGGCCAATGATTCTGAACTCAGACTGGGGATTGCTGCAGACACTGCTTCCCCAAAAGCAACAAATGAAGCTGTCTGAGGTGATGTTCCAAAATAGATCACTGCAAACTCCTGGACAGTGACGTGCATGGTTCCTTGAACAGTCTGGGGGAAGCTCTCTCCCTTCATAACCCCATTTCTTCCTTTCTGCTCTCTCTGGGAAAATTAACCTAATGCCAGTTCTAAAAAT